TTTTTTAAATATTTTCACCCTTATATTTATCAGGTAAACCATCATCAACTTTTGATTTTCAACCGCAACCTATACTTAAAATTTCATAAACTAAAAAGGTTATTTTTTCAATGAATTTTCACGTTTACATTTTCATTTTTCGTTAATCCGTTTACAAGATRTAGCCTCCCAAAGTTGGGTGGTWTTGGGTGGTGTTTRTGTGTTATAGCCTATAGGTGTATGTTAGGTGGTATTTACACACAAACACCATARTATAAATGTTGTTTGATAAAATAATCACCCTGTATAACGTTATTTATAATTATATGATACACTAAGTACCACTATTTACCAAGAAGTAAAAATGTTATACAATCGCATTTTATGTTTTATCTATAATGGGTTATAATGCCGTTAGGTATTGATAAATTTGTTCACATGTAAGACGCATATTATAATGATCGATAATAATTTTTTTAGTATATATATTTGCATATAATCTGTTACTATTGGAAAATGTTTGATTATTGTGATATTTTTCTGAGATATATTTCAATTGGCATAAATTCACAATACTATTGTTTATTTTCATGTAAAAAATATATATTGCAGTGATCGAATGAAAAAAATAATAATGTGAATCAAATAAATTATCTACTATAAGACATATTACACTTTTTTAGTTAGTATGGTAAATATTAATTTAATAAGTGAATTATCGTATTAAAAACTATTTTAGTCAAATCCAATCAGTTTGACGTAAATCAATTTAACTGTTACGAATATATTTTTTTTATCTAGATTCATCGGAGAATTGATCAATGTACAAAACTTAAACAATCAAATAAATTTATCTCTCATAGAAAGATTTTTAGACGGATCAAATTATTAAGCATTACATAATTCAAAAATTACATACAATACATTGCARTTAAGTTATCAAAATCAATCATCGTTAGTATCTGTTGTAATAAATCATACGATTTGATTAAATTCAAAACGTAGTAGGTGCACGAGACACAGTTAGGCCCATAAAACAGTTTACATTTGTTTTTTTTAATGATTTATAATAGTTATCTAGTTACCTATATAATATTAAATGCTTGATAAAATCAAATATCTAAAATTAGTTTTCAGTATTATCCTATTTTATATTAACAGTTTTTCCCTGCATTATATTAACTACACAACAAGTTAATGTTGTTTATAATTAAAATACAAGCTACATCACCTAATTCTTAATATAATTTTGACATTTGGTCGAAATTATAGATTTTTAATTTGTCTAACTTTTTACTAGTCCCCGTGAGAAAAAACTAGTCATACATTATTTTAACCTTAAACCATACAATGGTAAGTACTTCCAAATTCCTCGMAAAATACGTTTCAAACAAAAATAATTAGGTTAGAATTATTATATTAATTTATAAAACAAATATTGATGATAACCTACTGGTAAATGTRSACTTGAGTCCATAAATTGTAAATTAGGTATTACCTGTGAAATATCCTGGTTGTGATATTCAGTCACCRAAGTATTATTACGATTAAGGAACATGTAGACGTGTAACGCATATAAGGTACTTACTACTACAACTAATTAACTACTTTAACATACTACATTGCACGATCAAATAAAATCATATCGTATATGATTATAAATTACTGGGGCCGATTTGCTCCAACTGTTTCCCACCACACTCGCTGAATAAAATTTCGAACTGATAAAACCATTCCAAGTTATTATATGATGTCAAAAAACATTTTGTTTTAAATAACAAAAGTCGTATGCGATCATTATTGAATAGTATTGTTATCACCTTCAACGACGATTAGCAATAATTATAACTAAATAATAAAGTAGCCTTGTATTAATATTTATCCAAGTATAATTAGACAACATAGTAAAAACAGTTATTAAAATATATTATACTATCTATAA